AAAAAACAACATCTGCACATTTCCTGTAACATTTTTCCCTCTGATGTTAACCTTACTGTATGTTTTTGTGAACATGCATAAGTTTATGTTGAAGGTGCTTTCCAGTGGATAACACATTTCCAAGGTAATATTTGTTCCAGTAATTATGGTATGCTTTCACGTAAAAAATGCAATACTCATTTGCTTTGCAATAAAACGCCACAGAACATGAATAAGGATTTCTGAGTCACAGATATTTGATGCAATCCTAGGATCCCTCTGTGACTGTTAATACCTTCCTATTGAGTTATATTGTTTAAGTAGGTTGTTTCAGTCTACTGTAGCCATCCTTTGAGTTAACAACTTTGGGTATGGAACTGCTGAGAGGACTGTTTGGGTTCACAGATATCAGCTTTAGGGCAGAGAATGTACATAGAGCTGAAAAGCTAAGCACATTTATTTCAGTTGTGCTCGCACTTCAGAGATAAACTAAGAAAGAGACAGAGGAGTTTCTAATAAGGCAGGCAAAAAAAGGCTGTTGAAGCCATATGATTTAAAAGAAAAAAAAGCCTTCCTAGAAAATAAATTAATGCATGAATTATTTGTTCAAGGACACAAAATGTAATGTTTAAGCCACTGATATTGAAGTTGTTCTATTTCGGCAAAACCTCTTTTAGGAGCAAATGTTCTTCCTTAAACATCCAAAGCCAGCAGCACTTCCATTTAAAGGACTGAGTAAGGTTTTTACACTGCAGTTCAGATATTAATTAGCTACACCACTTGATTTAGCAGAAGAAAAATCAAACTTTTATGAGTAAAATGGGCTTTTGTAGCTCAAGTTTCCCAAATACAATTTCCTCAAGCAGCAAGCTTTCAAAATATATTTATATTTTTTCCTTTATTCTACTTTGAATTGCTTCAAATACTAAAACCCCAGCGGTTAAGGTAGTTCGTAGGTATGAATTCCACATAGTGTACCTATACAGAAGATTTTTATTTTTATTTTTTTTAATGCATGCTTTGAGAGCTCAATTTGGGAGTCCGGGTTACATTCAAATGGTAGAGTGATGGCTATCTGAAGGAAAACTTGCAGAAAATGTTCTCCTATGTAAAGGAATCCAAAAAAGGGTTTATAACATCCAAAAATAAAGGGTTGTATTGTACCTGGTCTGACATGAACAAAGTGAAGACAGACCTAATGTTGCAACATGCTTGACATAAAATAGTTGCTGATTTGTGTGATATGCAAATACGTCCACATCTCAAGAATCCTAACTGGTGTGTAATAAACCAAAAACTGGTCAGTCAGCACACCTCATTTCAAAAAATATCGGGTCAACATGTTTTAGGTACTACTTTTGAATGAGGCATCTTTATTCCAAGCTCCATGCTATTTTGCAGAAGAACATTTATAGCCTGGTAACCTTTCCAGCTGGAACATATGCAAGATTAAAATGTAAAGATTTGACAAATAAGGACATTGAATCACCTTTTCTGATTTAAGGAGGTACTCAAAGAGTTGCACTTTCCAATGTGTGTGATATTGTAAATCTTCACATATCATCACATACAATTTAAGAGATTCACAGAGAAATTGTACTGTATGACTAGATTTGGATGATTTGGAGAAAACTTAAAATGTCCTTTTTAACCACTCTGACATCATTGTTCAGTTCAAATCTTATTACTCCAAATAGAAGACTCAAAGCATTCTTTAATCAACAAAAATTGGAAAAAGCACAAAAAGTTTTAAGAAGATTCTTCAAGGTAAGCTGTTTCCTACTGAGGCATGTTGGGTTTTCAGTTAGGCTGCAACAGCAGGGAGTAAGAAATAAGAAATGCAAAAGGTCAATTAAACAGGAAACACACGCAGTGGCTGTATTAGTGATGCAAACTATACTAAAATTAATGCTTATGCATTAATATTAACACAAATAAAAACAGCAAAGTCAGATCCTTCCTCATTTTGTTTCTATCTAAAAACCCCAGTAAAAACCTGAATAACTCCAGAGGTGTGTAAGAGACCAGCATCTCCAATGCATAAACTATGACATTGACTCTGTTCCTTTAGACAGGAAAACCATGCATATCATTACACTACACAACAATATGTTTGTATAATTGGTAACCTGTTTTCTAATTCTAACTCACTTTTTAAAATATCATTAATATAATGTCCTGCCATGTTTGTTCATACACCCATCATTCATCATGTATTTATGTCATAAACCTCCCCTGGGACAACAGATGAAAATTACACCTTGAAGCTAAATGTTGCATATTGCACACAAACCTAATGTACTTATGTTGTTTCATATGCACTGTCCCATATTAAATAAATGTATGAATCTCATATATTGGAGCAAACATTAGCTATTTGCTAATGTATATTCAGCTAAACACTTTTGATATTTCATTATACCGGGAAGATTTTGATTTACTTGGGGGATTTTGTATTCATGCAAAAAAACAAATTTCTATCATATGATATTTTAGTTTACAATAAACTGTTTCATTTATTTTAGCCTCAAATAAAACATTCTGAACAACAAAAATCATTATCAACATATTTGCAAAACGTAATCAGAAATCGTTCACCAAATTTCTTATCATTGCATCTCCACAATTACAGTAATTTTCTCCAAGAATGTCTTCTGTTATTGCAGCCAAGGCAAACTGACCTGAATAGGAAAATTGTGCATATGAGGAAAAAGGACATATAGTAGGAGTTGATGTGTGTAGTAGGCTGAATACAGCGACTCTTAACTTAGTGTGAATTTTATATCATCAGCAATCCTTTGTGCTGTTCATGTGCCTGACAGGAAAATAGGAATATTTTGTAGGTATGAGTAATGCTTTATATTCATAGAGGTTAAAGCCATCTGAGCATGCTGACAGACAGACAGACTCCAATTACAGTGATTCCAGTTTATTCTAATCTCTTCTTTGATAGTACACCTTGGTTTTTAGTATAAATATATATATATATATATATATATATATATATATATATATATATATATATATATATATATATATATATATATATATATATATATATATATATATATCAATGCTGTTAAAATCCAAAAACTAATACCTACTAGCTTGTAATTAGAAGTGAAAACGTTGTAACTTGCCATAATGAAATAGGCTCTAATTAAGTACTATCCTGTAATAACCAAAATAAATATCATATCTTATTATTCACATACAAATATTAATAAAATAAAATAAATTATACAGACTGAAATCTGTTTCATGCATTTACAATGAAGGAATATTGCTGACAATAAAACAGCAACAATCTAGTAGTAGTATAGTAAAGCCGTTACATTTATTATAAAGTTTATGATACATTTTAGTGAGTGAAAGTAGGGGGGTATATAGACGTTAAATAAAAAAAATGCTGCAGAGGTGTGTTTTAAAAATATTTCTGGCATTACCACCTGGCTTGCAAAAATCTATTATAGACACTGTTGCTAATTTTTCTTAAAGTATATTTTTTTCAAGCGCTTTTTAAATGTAACTTGATGTAGTTTTAATCCAAAGGTGATTTGATTAATTGAAGAGACAAATGTTTCTATCTACTTATATGTCCTTTTAGAAAACATATACAAGTTAAAAATGTTAACAGAATTTCATTGTCACCCCTTTATTGTTTTCACTTAATTTAACATAAGACCTATGTTACTGGCTTTAAAAAAGGATTAAATGAAAAAGCCAGCCTATTTTGTTTGTTTCTTACTAAATTATTTTTCATTCACTACTCTTTGTGAAAAATACAAAAACACAACATGCATTTGTTTAAATAGCATAATATTTTAAATCCAGTCTTCTTTTGCAGCTGTGTGCAGGTTTTTAGGAATTTCCTGGCATTGTTCTCTGCTGATTGATTAATGCAGAATGAACAGCATCATTAGACAGGCATTTTTAAGTTTTTGTCCAGATATTTTAAATGGGATACAGATGAGTCTGTTCTCTGGCTGTGCTACTTATTAACATTTACAGGCTGCTCTTTGAACCAGACCTTTATAATCCGGGTTACAAGCTTATTGTTGTGCTGGAGGATGAATTATTTTCAGCTCTGTGGCAGTCAGAAGCAGGGTCTCCTAAAGAATATTTAATGTCTCTAAAACTATAAATTACCCTGTTACAGACGAACAAGATGCGGCTTAATCAGACCAGATCATTTAGTGTCCCCTGATTCTACTATCTCCATTCTTTTGTTTTTCTGGCTTCAGTGGGGCCATTCTACCATGAAGTACTGACTGGTGAAATGCAAAATATGAACATCCTATCCACACAAGCTATCACAGCACCTCTTCCTTTGTGGTCAACTCTTTGTTTAACTGACCACAGTTTAATAAAAAAAAAAAAAAAAAGTCAGATCTAATGAGGTTCCTTCTTGTTATAAACTTTTTCATTTCTAAACATGCCAATCAGGGTGATTTTAGCACTGTTTATTTCTTGATAAGTTTACTTTGATACCTCTCCATAGTTGTGCCTTGCAACAAGCCAGACTTTGTAGTCTACAGACCTTTGACTTCATTGCCTGGTTGCTTCTCTGATATGTGCAGTCAACCATGAGACCTTGTTTTCCATTCCAAATCATGTTCAGTCAACTGAATTTGCCACAGGTGTATTCCAGTCAAGTTGCAGAAGCATCTCAGAGATGATCGGTGGAAATCAGATAGACCTGAGCTCCATTTGGAGTAATAAAGCAAAAAAGTGTGAATGCTTCTGTACCTGTAAAGTTTGGATGTTTGCATTTTTGATACCTTTAGATTTCTTTATACATTTTAAAAACAAAGAAAAACGAAAACAAAACCTAAATCTATAATGCTTTTGTTTTTGTGTCTGGCAAATAAAAGTGAGGGCATGGATAGTTTTTGTTTACACTTGGTGTAAAAGTTCTACAGGCTGAAAGACTCCCTCTTATCATGAGGGATCAAAATGGTTCAGAAACATCTATTCTGATCTCTCTAGTCTGAAATCAAAAAAAGAGAAAAACATCTAACCTGCATTCCTTAGCTTTCGGTTCCTGAACACCGAAATAATGACAAGCAGATTCCCCAGCACATCCACCACAGTGGTGAAGATCAAGACACTGGCAAGAATAGCGATGACCCAGGCGGGGCGGGTGGTCCCTTCCGCGGGCAGGTTGTGCTCCAGCTGCCCTAACCGTGGCTCTGTCCGGTTCTTCAGGAGCATTAACGTGTCCGGCATCACTCGGCTACCAGCAAGAAGCTGCCCGCTTCAAGTCCCCGCTGATGTATTGATCGTTTAATGATAAGGAATATTAGTCAGTTCAACGTCCCGCCGGCACCGTCGGTACCGGTGTGTCCTAGATGCAACATGGAGCGCACCCGTCTTCAAGTTCCACGAGGTGCGCAGGTAAAAGTCCGCTACTTAAGGGCGACAATTAGTTGCTGTGATGATCACGTGTGACGTATGAAGTTGCACAGACTCCTGGCTTCTTTTTATTCCCCCCCTCACATCTTCAGAAGCAAAGTGACCTGTCCACGTCCCACGGCAAACAGGACACGGCCACGGTGCCACACCTCCTGCCGGAGCGGAATGAGAATAATTTTTCTTTCATAAAAACGTGGATTAATGATAATAATAATAATAATAAAGTCTTAATGTGGTGTCTTACCTGTCTTGCTGGTTGGCATCTGTAACTCTCCTTCGTCTGCGACTCCCACAAAAATAAAAAAGGAAGAAATAAAGATACATAGAAGACAGTTTTCCTTTGTAAGATGTTAAATCGCTGGGGATATTTGTGCTTTTAACAGGCTGCTAAAAGCGCTGTGATGCCCTGTCCATACACGGGGCTATACAGCCTATACGACGCAACTGGAGCTGTGCGCTGCAAAATGTCACACAGCAGAAGCCTCTAGTGAGACACCAATGATGATGATGATGATGATGATGATGTGGACACATCAACAGAGTGAGGATGGAGCAACGAGGGACTCGCCTATTTCGGTTCTGCATCTCCTAAGTATGGGTGCAAAAAAAAAAAAATGATCCCATTTTTTTGCACCACTGCTTTTTATTATTATTATTATTAATCATCTGTCTCCCGGAGTGAGCTCCCTAGAAATCAGCCTTAAAATGTGGCGCAATTACTCGGACGCTCGCGCTGAGTCGCGCAACTCCGATGTTCAGGCTGCGACTTCCCTTAAAGCTTCTTTTTTTCTGGGCGGTGGGGACATTTTGAAAGTAAAAATAATCACATCAGACATTTTGTTCATGTAAATGGATATAAATAATTTTTTAATGGTGTAATAAATAATATGATACATCCTAAATATGATGAGGGTATATTATGTAAGTCAGTTGCAAACATTATTTATCGATTGGATGAATCCTTAAGCAGTGCGCGCACGTCTCTGGGTCAGGAGTATTTGCGAGCAGCAGAGTCACAGCAAGTGGAGGTGGCAGTTTAATCCCATTCATGCTTTACATGGGCGACTCAAAGAGAGTAGGGGCAGCGGTGCAGTCAGGCTCTTTGGATTCATAAGTTATCAATGATGTCAATGTCGGTTGTGACACATTGAGGACAGTGCCATCACTCCCATGTTTAACCCGTTGCTGCTGGACTGCAGCTGGATTCCTTTAAAGTCAGCAAGCAGAGATTAGAGTCTGGCTCAAAGCAAAGCTGATGGGTTCAGCAGGGCCTGACGTGATGGCCAGAGGACAGACAGCTCCAAGCTGTGAGGTCAGCCAGAGATGCCTGTTCTCGCATGTGGATGCATTTCATATGGAAACATGTTTTTGCTATTGAAGCACATGACAGTTCCACACAACTGCACGTTCATTGAAAAGGGTCTATATATATGTATTTTTAGACTAATGTTGATAATTAACCCTACTGCAGTTTTGCACTTGGAAATCACACAGTTTTCTAATGAGTTTAGTTTGATCTCAATATAAACAGAGCAGTTATGTGAAGGCCTCTGAGGATTCTTACAGGAGTTTGGTGAAAAAATGGTAAAATGAAGACCAAGTAACTCACCAAACAAGTCAGAGATCAAGATACGCTTTGAACCTTAGAAGCATAGAGCACCATCCATCCATCTTAAGAGAACCCTGGGCGATTCATCAATTACTAATGCATGACTGGGCAACACAGAAACAGACCAGTCAAACAACCGTTGAACACACATACACACAATGGTCATTTAATGTGACCAATAAACATAGCAAAGCATGCAGAGGAATGCCTAGATCCCATATCTGTATGACAATTTAATCAAGAAAAGCCTCCAGTTAGAATTAAACAACAAATCATCTTAAGAGCTACCAGTAAAAGCAACTGTACCACCGTACACAAATCTTTTTCAGTCATCTTAAAATATCAAGTAGCAACAAACCTCTTAGAATTATGAACATCCATGAACACTGGCTCCCTGAACAAGGAGAACATGAATAAAAGCAGCACCATTCTGACCTCTGAGAAAGAATGCCACAGGCTATATCAGGACTCGTACTCGTCGTCTCCCGCTTTATCCGGAAAAGGGTGGCGGGGGCAGCAGACTAAGCAGAGACTCCCAGACTTCCCTCTCGGCAGACACCTCCTCCAGCTCTGCTGGGGGAAGCCCTAGGCGCTCCCAGGCCAGCCGAGAGACGTAGTCTCTCCAGCGTGTCCTGGGCCGTCCCCTGGGCCTCCTCCCAGTGGGACGTGCCTGGAACACCTCCAGAGGGAGGCGTCCAGGGGGCATCCGAAGAAGCTGTCCGAGCCACCTCAACTGACTCCTCTCGATGTGGAGGAGAACCGGCTCTACACTGAGCCTCTCCCGAATGACCGAGCTCCTCACCCTATCTCTAAGGGATATATATATCAGGACATGGACCATATATATCTTAGAAGGTGTTTTGGCACCTTCCAACACATATATGTTCTATGTTCTAACCACAGTGGGATAACTTCAAAAAGTGTTTAATAAAACACTGATGGGTTGCAGATCTGAAGCAACAGTGGCTACCGCATCTAAGGCAGGTAACTTTGGAGAGAGAAAACAAAGGTCAACAAGATGTGGATGTTTTAGCCCCAGGGAACCTGCAGGATACCAAAGCCAGGTCAGGCAAACAGATCAGAACAGGATTAGGAAGGCTCAAAGATCCAGGAGTCCAAAGACAGTTCAGGCAAATTGTTCAGATGAGAACAGGCAGGCTCAGTGATTTAGAGGCAGAACAGGTCATGAAATCAGAAACGTTCAGATATGCTAAAAACACTCTCACCACCGAGATCATATGGAAACATGCAGGTGCAGTGGTTGAGAGGCAGAACATTCAGGATCAGGAAATCAGAAACACCAAGGAACTCTAAAATCATTCTCACCACTGGCTAGAGGGAACAAAAATAATCTGCACTGATGAATGGATGCAAGCACCTTAAATAGAGGCAGGAGCAGGTGGATCAGATGAGTAGTAATGAAAACCGGGAAAAGTTAGACAGCTGAATGAAATGAGAAATTAAGCCAGTCATCAGTGCCATGATCATGACGGAGCTAGTTCATTTTCATCTGTGTGAACTGAACTTTGAACCTGTTCTTTTTAATGATGAAAAGGCACAACATTGCATGTGACTCACTTCTTAGCTTGTCTTACACAAAAGTAAAAACATGAAGTGATTGAAAATCATCAGAAAACCAACATTGCTTAGCTGACAACTCTTTCCCTAAATACACTATATTGCCAAAAGTATTTGCTCACCCATCCAAATTATTGGAATCAGGTGTTCCAATCACTTCCATGGCCACAGGTGTATAAATTCAAGCACCTAGGCATGCAGACTGTTTTTACAAACATTTGTGAAAGAATGGGTCGCTCTCAGGAGCTCAGTGAATTCCAGCGTGGAACTGTGATAGGATGCCACCTGTGCAACAAATCCAGTCGTGAAATTTCCTCGCTCCTAAATATTCCACAGTCAACTGTCAGCTGTATTATAAGAAAATGGAAGTGTTTGGGAACGACAGCAACTCAGCCACGAAGTGGTAGGCCACGTAAACTGACGGAGCGGGGTCAGCGGATGCTGACGCGCATAGTGCGAAGAGGTCGCCAACTTTCTGCAGAGTCAATCACTACAGACCTCCAAACTTCATGTGGCCTTCAGATTAGCTCAAGAACAGTGCGCAGAGAGCTTCATGGAATGGGTTTCCATGGTCGAGCAGCTGCATCCAAGCCATACATCACCAAGTGCAATGCAAAGCGTCGGATGCGGTGGTGTAAAGCACGCCGCCACTGGACTCTAGAGCAGTGGAGACGCGTTCTCTGGAGTGACGAATCGCGCTTCTCCATCTGGCAATCTGATGGACGGGTCTGGGTTTGGCGGTTGCCAGGAGAACGGTACTTGTCTGACTGCATTGTGCCAAGTGTAAAGTTTGGTGGAGGGGGGATTATGGTGTGGGGTTGTTTTTCAGGAGCTGGGCTTGGCCCCTTAGTTCCAGTGAAAGGAACTCTGAATGCTTCAGCATACCAAGACATTTTGGACAATTCCATGCTCCCAACTTTGTGGGAACAGTTTGGAGCTGGCCCCTTCCTCTTCCAACATGACTGTGCACCAGTGCACAAAGCAAGGTCCATAAAGACATGGATGACAGAGTCTGGTGTGGATGAACTTGACTGGCCTGCACAGAGTCCTGACCTCAACCCGATAGAACACCTTTGGGATGAATTAGAGCGGAGACTGAGAGCCAGGCCTTCTCGTCCAACATCAGTGTGCGACCTCACAAATGCGCTTCTGGAAGAATGGTCAAAAATTCCCATAAACACACTCCTAAACCTTGTGGACAGCCTTCCCAGAAGAGTTGAAGCTGTTCTAGCTGCAAAGGGTGGACCGACGTCATATTGAACCCTATGGATTAGGAACGGGATGTCACTTAAGCTCATATGTGAGTCAAGGCAGGTGAGCAAATACTTTTGGCAATATAGTGTATGTCAGACCTCTAACCTCTGCTGATTCCCGTTTTGGGCTGAGTTGTCTCCAGTGTTCAGCAGCTTAGCATAGCAGGCCCAGAGCAGGGACGCTCTGCTTTGATACAAATCTTCACACTTGTAGTCTCTTCAGGAAAGAGAAAGTTTCTGTAACCCACAAAGAAATGTTGCAAACAGTCTGTTTTGCATTGGTTGGTTATCTTTTAGTCAACTCTGTCAAAAGTCTCTTGCTGAGTTGTGTAGTCTACATAATTTTCTTGGTCTAATGTGAAGATATGTATAGTATGTCAGCAATAGAGTTGAGTTTGAGGTTTTATACAGTAGCCCATCAAAAGAAAAAGCTTCCTTGATGGGAAGCGAAACGTCTTCAAACTGAAACAAAGTCCAGTTGATTGTTTTTGATTTTGTTTTTTTTTTAAGGCTCTGATGTTATGTCTCTGATTTACTAAATAACAATGATACCTAACACAACAAAGAGGTAAGGAAGTATAATAACAAGCAGTGGACTAGAAATTTATATCAGTACCATACTCTCAAAAAAAGTAAACACAGTCAAGTCCCTCCATATGGATGCAGTATGTTCTGGTGTAGCTCTACAGGAAAATATGGTTAATTAAAATTAATAGCACAATTTTTCTTGGTTTCGAGTCATTGTTTCACATAGAGATTTGTTGGATCTTGCAGATGGTGCAGCCCATAAAACGTCTGCTGAGGGGAGTCTCAACAAAAAGAAAGGACACTAGCAGGCTATAGAACTATGAATTTATATCAGTTTTTAGGAATAATGCGGCATGATCTATCATTTCTGTACTTCTAAAGTAAAGAATATGCTCCTGTATTATATCTTTATAATGATCAAAATGGAGTTCGACTTTAGAATTTGAGATAAAGGTTTTAGTTCTTAAAGTCAACTACTAATTGACAGGTAATTTAATTTCTGCCCCTGAGTGTTCTTGGATATCTTTTTTCAGCTTT